ACTGGGGACAGCGCCTTACACTTGACAAACCTTGCCGGGATTTTTTGGCAAGGCCAAGGAGGCCGGTCCCTCCCGCCAAATCTGCTCGCATTTAGACAGCTGGCATTTTTCCCACTCCACGTTCATTATCTTCCGAAAGATCAGATTCAAAATAACGTGTCCTAGTGTGGATGAAACCTATGGGACAGGAGTGTTGTGTGTGAAAACTGAGGGTCATTCTTTGGGGGGTAAGCCGCGGCTCTCGGGAGGGGCGATTGCCATTTCACTCTGTCTTGTTTCATCTCCCATGTTAGATGCTAGCAAGTCAACATCTTTACAATTAACCATCTGGTAGTTGATTTTTCACTCGCTTTTGTAGTTGAACTTGTTTTTGTAAGAAATTAAGAACGGGTTTTTTATGTTAAGGCAGATATATCTGGCCAGAGCCACTTGTTTATAAGACAACTCGGGTTTGATTGTGAGCAGAAGTACTCCCCTGGAGTGGGTGAGCCTCTCACAGAGGTATCCAGGTCATTATCCAAAGATTCATGTAAGGGGCTACTGTTAATCATACCTGTAGCACCTGCCTGGCCTGCGTTGGAACCCGCCTTGGTCCGCTGTGCAGTTTTCCGGAGGGCCTGATTCCCAGCATCCTCATCTTTGGGGTGACGGTAGCTGCTGGCAGCACTCGTGTATTGCATTAATGGTGGACTAACCAACTTCACTAGGCTTGCTCGTCCGTCTCATGCCTCGTGTTTTGAAATAGATGAACTTGATTGAACGGCTGTTTCCAAACTTCTCACCTCTGCTGTTGGTTACACTGAACAGTCCTTTCTTCATAGAACCAGCTGCACTGCCCAGTTACCTGCCCTCACCTGGCTGACACCCTCTTTGCCACTGTTGGTTACACTGAACAGTCCTCTCTTCATAGAACCAGCTGCACTGCCCAGTTACCTGCCCTCACCTGGCTGACACCCTCTTTGCCACTGTTGGTTACACTGAACAGTCCTCTCTTCATAGAACCAGCTGCACTGCCCAGTTACCTGCCCTCACCTGGCTGACACCCTCTTTGCTACCCACCTCTAAATGCACACCTGTCGCCGCGAGGCTCATCCTGCCTGGCAGGCGACACACCTGCGACTCTCGGGGACTCCTTTGTCCTTCCCTCTTGCCAGCACCGCTGTTACCCCGGCCTCCCCTCCCCTCCTCACTGCAAATGCCAAGGTCAATTGAAGGGATTCATTTAGGTATTTCCTGTACCTGGACTTGTAAGCGAGGGGAGTGGATTGTTCATGTCTCTCCCCAGTGCTGAGACCTTTAATACAGTGAACAGGTGATCCAGGAGAATCGCAGTGGGTCAGGCACCTTGGATTTCAGACTTGTACCGTTCCTGGAAAGAAAAAAGTGGTGGACAGTTTGGATGTACTTTTATGCCTCTGCTTGGCAAAGTGAGTAAGCTCCCACCTCTCCTTACTATCCCCCTGTTTTCAGCATGTGCAAAGGCAGCTATTTCAGAAAGAGCCAGGCTTTCCCAAGGATGAGCACGCCCTCTTACTGTGTGCTGTATCTCTACAGAGCAGTGTATGTTTTCTGAGAGGCACAGCATGTACAAAGGCACTGTGGTCAGGTGAGGCCCTCTTAGGACAGAGTACCTTGAGACAGGCGAGGGGGAGGAGATTGGCGTGTTGCAAGCTTCAGGGGAAGGGTTAAGGCAGTGGGGATGCGCTGAATGCTTCATGGGATTCTGGGAGTGTGGGGTGAATATACGAGGGGGCACAGGGGAGGAGAACAGCTGGGGAGCCTTTGCCACTTGCAAGGAAAGGAGGCTTGTGGAGAGCAAGAGAGTCCAGAGAGCATGAGAGAGTCATGGGTGGTGTCAAAGGTTCTTGGGGGTGGGGGTGGGGGTGCACTGACTGAGGGGCCAAGCACTTTGGGATTGAGAGTTTAGGGTTTTGTTTTTCAGCAGCTTTATTGGGGCCCTTTACAGGCCATATATGTCTCTTCATGTAAGGGTACAACTTTATGATTTTTTAAACTTTTTAAAAAGATTAACTTACTTTTGCATACAAGAACTGGGGTGTCAGCTGGAGGTGCAGGGGGTGAGAGGTTTCACCAGAGACAGACTGGGGAGCAGAATACACAAATTGACGAAGTCCACTGAGGGGAATAGTGGGAGGGTCAGGAGAGGTCTGCTGTGCCCTGTGGTCAGCTCCCTGGCCGGGCATGGGATGGACTTGGGCTGCTCTGGCTGCCGACGGCTTGCTAACCCCGGCACCACTGGGCAGGCCGCAACTTGATGATTTGAGCCAGTTGGGCAGGAGGGTGCAGCCGTCACCATCACCCAGTCTTAGCACGCCCCCCGTCCCCAGCAAGAGCTCGTGCCCAGGAGCTTACTCTTCCGCACCCCACGGGGCCCCCATGCTCTGTAGGTTCGACGACTCCAGTCTTTGACGTAAATGGGGTCCTGGGACCCCTGGCTTTTGACTGCGTGTGCGGCTCCAGGGCTGCCATGCTTAGCGCTGCTGAGTCCTTGCCCAGGGCTGCTCCCCTGCCCGCCTGGCCCCTGCACCGTCTAGCTTGGGGCGCAGCAGTGGGAGACACCTGCACCCCATCTGGGGGGAGGACCTCCCCGAGGGGGGATCCTCGGCAAGCACGGTGGCTCCGTGGTCCGCAGCATGAGATGCCATTTGTAAGTTACGGGTTCAGGCCCCCACGGAGAACATGTAGGGGAAGGTGGGTCCACGTGGGTTCCTCCAGCACTGGAGCACGCGCCCGCTGAGGAGGAAGGACAGCAGAGGGCGAGGTGGACACCCGGGTGGCCATGGCCAGAGGAGGCTGAGAAGGAGTGGTGGGCGGGAAGGGATGTCCCACCAGGGCTCAGGGCACTCCGGTGGCCTCGAGATGGGGACGACCAGCGGCTCCCAGAAAGTGAAGCTGACGCTGCCCGCTGTGCCGCGCCGTGGAGTGCAGGCGGGAGAACGTGCGGCCGTGCCGCTGGCTCGCCTTTGACTTGACTGCGCCCTGCCTGGTGAGGTCCTGTAGGTGACCCAGCCACAGTGCCGGGTGGGCGTGGTGCCTGCGGCCTCAGCAGCCAGCCTCCAAGCGGTTTCTTCACAGGCTTCCTGTTGGTGACAGCATGTCACTGCTGCATCCAGCCTTGCCGAGGGGTCACCTCCTGGCAAACAGCTCTGCTGGGGCCAGCCTCTAGCCCCTGCTGATGCAGCCTGACCAAAAGTGTGATTCCATATAGCCTCCCCTTGTGGCACATTTTCCAGAGCTGTCACTTGTTGGAGTGGACAGCTGGCTTGACCTGCAGCCTGTGGTTAGTGAAGAATGGGCCCTGCGGGCCACCCGCGGGCTTGTACCCTTGCCTTGTAGCACAGAGACAGCCACTTTCACCCAAACCTCCACTCCTTGTCCTTTGTTTCCTGGTGTCACGCTGGGGAGTGAAAAAAATCAAGGAAATGGTCACAGGTAAAGCTGGGCTTAGACGGTCTCCAGCTCGGGGTTTGCCAGCCCCTCACGTCTAGTGGACGCATGCGGTCTAGGAGAGAATGCAAGAGCGCATGGAGACTATACGGGGACCAGAGCCGCAGAGTGAGCGTGGGGGCCCTGGCGTCACCCCAGCCTGCTGCTCCTCCCTGGGAGCCCAGGGAGCCCTGACCTGCAGGGGGGGCGTTGGGGTGCAGTTCAGTCTGATCCTGGACTCAAATTATGGGGGTGATATTGGTGTGCAGCACTGCATTTTGGGGAGGGCTGGGTTCCCACCTCTTGAGACGCCCCGCCGCCTGCTTGTTAACTCTCTCCGCTCCTGCCTGACGGTCTCCTGGCCTGGGGCAGAGGGTTGGGACAGCGGATGCGGCTTCATAGCGTCCACCTGCTTTTCTTGGGGCTTGTGAGTGGCCGACAGGGGAAGCCGTCTGCCTTCAGGATCAGCCAGCCGCCCGGAGAGTGGTGGCTGCTGGGTGAATTCTGGCCCCTCCCAGAACACCCAGGCCTGCCGCTGCTCGGCCTTCGCGCCCCTCACCGCCCAGGAAGGCCGGAACTGTTTATCTTCTTTCTCCCAGAGTACCTGGCCCCAAGTCATGCTAATATTTGCGTTGGAGCGCCCAGGGAGTGTGCATGTCCTCCCTGGCGCTGGCCTGGGAAGCTGTCTCTCCAGGGAGGGCCGCCTCACATGTTTATTTTTGATTTGCTTCTAGATAACTTTCTCTGCCCTGAGAATGTAAAATGGATCCCGAAGAGAAGAAGCTACTGCATGACTACAGGTACAAGAGCTACTCATCCGGGATTGAAAAGGCCTTAAAAAACTTCGAGTCCTCCAGTGAGTGGGCGGATCTCATCTCCTCCCTGGGCAAGCTGAACAAGGTAACTGGGGTGGGAGTGTTGGGCTGCGTGGGGCGGGGAAGCGGCCACCTTTGCCACGCCGGGGCTTGGCTTCCGTCAGGCTCGCAGGTGACGTCGTGAGATGTGGGCAAGGGAGCCCCCTTCCCCAGCGTGCAGACCCGCTTCTTGCTTTATCTGCCCACGGGGTTGACCTTGGGTAGGGACAGTCAGGAGCAGAACAATCTCTGCATTTAGAGCTAAACACCATACAATTTCCCTTTTTAAAAAAGATTTATTTATGCCTCAAAGAACTGGGTTGCCGGGGGTGAGCGGACTCCCCAGAGACGGAGTGGGGGGCGGAACAGACAGATCCACTGGAGTCCACTGCTGAGGGAGCAGTAGGGAAACAGGAGCGGTCTGCTGTGCCCTGTGGGTCACTCCCTGGCCAGGGAGCAAACTCAGGTCGCAGTGGCTGGCAATTGCCTGCCAGCGCTGAGACTTAACAGCCCCGCCAGCAGGGAGGCCCCTATTTTTATTCACTTTTTGCACTGTTCTTAACAAAGACCGCCAGCTAAACCTTCCTGCCCCCAGTCTCCGGCCACGTGCCGGGCCCCACCCCAGGCTGAGGCTCCCTCGCCCAATCGGGGCCCGAGTGCTCCTGGGCAGTGAGCGCGGTGCTGCCCATTCATTTTACTGAGGACATCAGGCCCCTGCACAGCCCCGTGCCAGCAGCCCGTCCTTGGTAGCCAGCGTCCTCCCATGCCAGCAGCCCGTCCTCCGTGGCCGGCGTCCTCCCATGCCAGCAGCCCGTCCTCGGTGGCCGGCGTCCTCCCGTGCCAGCAGCCCGTCCTCGGTGGCCGGCGTCCTCCCTCAGAGCAGTTTCTCGCTCAGCTGCGAACGGGGCAGGGCGTGGTGGCGCTGTGCCCGGCCACCTGTGAGGATGTGTGAGGTGCTCTGGTCCACGGGCTCAGATGTGGAAGTGTGAGCGGCACATCATGAACGTGTCTTGTTTATGGACTTGTGAAGGGAAGGTAAACATTTTGATAGCTAGCGGCAAAGTCGGAACTAGGGTTATTGCCACGTCTTAAACTATCTGGTCAGTTATTCAGCAATGGGTTGTTTTTCGTGCCCTGCTCAGGGTCTTTACAAAGGCTTTTTCTTCTTTGGCCTGCTGTTTTGAACATTTTACTGTCAACTGGTGACTCCCAGGATGAAGGGTATAGTAAATACTGAAAGCAGCCCAGAAAGTGTACCCAGGTCTGGATGAGGAAGGAGTCCAGTTTCTAGAAAGATTGGAATGGGTCGCAGGCAGGCTACGTCCTTGGCCCTGCAGTGAGGACCCTGGTGTCCCCGCCCGCCAGAGGATGACTTGTCTCTAATCCCAGCCAAGCTGATGCTCAGCGGCCGCTGTGCAGCGGGGGGTGGGTTTGGGGTGGGGGAGGCTGTCCAGCCCCTGCTGTCTGCCAGGGTCCCCCTCCAGCCCAGCCCTGCTCTCTGGGCCCTCTCCGCTGGGCCGACTCAGGGGCCTCTAGCAAACCCCACGGAAGAGTCTGTCTGTTGAGCCTCTGGAGGAGCGAGGGCAGCAGGCTGACTGGGGGGCAGTGCCTGGGGGAGCAGGGTCAGGTGGAGTCAGCACCCCCGCTGGGAAGTGGCTGTGAGCCCAAGGCCGCCAGCAGGCCTCATCTTCCAGGGGATGGCTGGAAGGGTGCGGCCTCCTGCAAGGTGACTGGCCCCGAGCCTCAGGGCCTGCGCTGTTCAGGCAGCGGCAGGGGCCTGGCGACTGTCCCATTGTGGCGCACAAGCGTGGCAGTCCCCAGGCAGGAGTCCGCTCCCTGGCGCAGGCGGGCGTTGCTTTTTAGAGACAAGGGAGAAACACCAGAAACAGATCGAAGGGAATTCAGGCTTCTGGATACTTCTCTATTTTAGTACTTGACTCTCTTAGGATCTAAAAACGCCTACATTTGGGAGAGGCCTGCCTTTGTTGCTTTTTGTTGTTGGCTTACAACCCACATAACATTTACCAGTTCACTACGTGTTTTGAGTTGTAGATTGAAGTGGTTTTTGGTACAATCATGGTATCGTGCAGCCATTTTCAAGACTGAGTTCCACAGTTTTGACCACCCCAAAAGGAAACGCTTCCCACCTCTGTGCCCAGCAGCCCCTGGCGACCACTAATCTACTTTCAGTGTCTGAGGACATTTCCTGCATGTGGAATCACAGCGTGCGGCCTTTGTGTGTGATGTGTCTTACTGAGCGTGTGGTGGTTCACCGCGTGGAGGTGCGTGTCCGCCCTTCAATACTGCCTGTGGCTGGCTGATGCCCCACGGTATCGCGGGCTGTGTTGCACTGAAAATGCATCTTTGATACCTTTAGGGTTTCTGCCTTGTGGCCACTGTGAATAGCGCCTCATTGAAGACGTGGGCGCACGTGGTTGCTGGCTTGCCTTATGTTATTTCGTGCCTGTGTCTCGGGGTGGACTCACGGAGTTGCGTGGTAATTCTGCGCCTCACTTTTTGATGAGCCACCGAACTGTTTCTCCAGAATGGCACCATTTCGCGCACCCACCAGCGTGTCTGTAGGTTCTGATTTCCTCCCGTCCTTGTTAGTAACACTGTGTTCAGGGTTTGTGATCACGGCCGTCCTAGTGGGGGTGAAGTGGTGTTTCATAGCTTGGATTTGCATTTCCCTAATGAGTGGTGATTTTGTGTATCTTGTTTATTGAACATCTATAATTTTCTTGGGAGAAATAACACCAAAAGAACAAGCAACAGCAACAACAACAACAAAAAAATGGATAAATTGGACTGTGTCAGACCTAAAACTTTTGCATCTCCAAAGGCAAAAGACAATGTGCAAAGACAATGTATAGCAGGGTGATTTGCGAAGCTTCGTTAGGTGTTTATGCGTGTAAGGTCTGGGGTCTGGGCCACAGGTGCGGGGGTGAGAGGATTCACCAGAGTGCGGAGCAGA